GGGGAGGGGGACGGAGGGGATAACTGAAAAGAGATTTTTTGGTCTCCCAGCTTATGTGTTGGTCATTAAAGGTCACTCATTTACTAAACTAGTAGTTAAAATGCTTGATGCAAAGAAAGTCCCCTTCCCCCTTCCCCCTACTCCAATCTTTTTCAATCGCCTTGTTTCATCGACGGGGTACAGGAATTATTTGTGCGAAAATATATCAAAGATGAAAAATTTGAACCCCGTATAGTGTCAAAATTTAATAATTTAAAAGACTGAAAAAAAGAAGATTTATGAAATTGAAAAAAACTATCGTAAATTTCGAGGAAAATCTTTAAATTTCTGAGTGCTCTTGATTATGGTACTTTATTTCTAGATGTCCCTGTTTTTTCCCTGTCCAAGGTGAGGTGATGGTACCTTCTAATAAGTATTGTGGTACTCTGTTAATACGTATAACACCGATGGGAAGAGTGAAACAGAAGTAGAAAGATGAGGTATCAGCGATCAGAGATCAAAAATCGACGAGAAACGAAATTTAAATCTGAAAACAGAGATTGACTGTTTCACACGTGGACCGCGGGGATTTTTTCTGCTCGCGCCAACGCTTTGCGGTAAATTTTGGCGCAAAGGTAGAAGCTTGGGACGAAGATAGAGCTTATGGGGAGTGGATCCTACATGAGTTCTTGTGCTCAGTTTGAAACTTGATATTGTTGGGAATTTAGCAATATGATGCCTAAAACTTCATCAACCCGAAAAACCGGTAGTATGAATTTCGTAGCTCAAATTCGAACTCAAAAATGAGTGTAAATTGCGCGGCCGAGCCGAGCCAAATTTTGGTTACCAAATCGTCGTTCAGCGGTTCTCTCCGCTTTCCCCGACAGAAGCGCTTTCGCGAAACTTTAGCCGCTTTGCGAAGTGTGGATGTGGTCATTCCTAGGCCACGATGAGATAGGTACCAATAGCAGATGTTTAGGAAACTACTAAAATTGAAATTTTTCTTGACATTTGTCCGGTATTTTCCATCTTTTTGATATAATATATTAGATTTTTGTGTGAGTTACAGGACTGTCGGCCAAAAAAAAGTTTTGTTTTTTGGCCAAAAGAAATGTGAGATGCGGCTGAATGATGATGTTTGGTGCTGTTCCTTGATATTCTATCAGAGTGTTCTGCCAGAGGAACCAAATTCTACCCGGCGAAACTATACGAGAGGAGGGGGGAGGCTTTTTTTTTTATTAACCTGCCCACTTCACGGTTCAAAGTTCTAACAAATTGTGGTTCTATTTAACAGATACTTCCCGATGCCTCACCTTGTCCACCTCCCTCCCCCTCCCCCTCTCTTCCTTGTCCCTCCAGAGTATTCCCTCGGAAAAACCAAATTCTATCCGGTGAATCTCTAGGGGGGAGGGGGGGGGGACTTTCTTTTTATTGAACTGCCCACTTTACGGCTGAAAGTTCTAACACATCGTGGATCTATTTAAAAATACTCCCCCTCCTCCCCATGCTGTCTTATTCTGCCTCCTCGCTAACCACTGCAATTCGCTTTCGGATCTGGCCGAGCCGGGTTTTGCTGTCCGCAATTGCTTACGGCATGTGTGTACACGATGTGGCTGGAACCTCTTTCGGTATTCGGTGGCTTAATCATTCTTTTGCCTTATAAAATGATGTGGACGCCTGGCGTACGTGTTTCTGATGGCACGTTTCACGTACCGTTGTTCTGTTTCTCTCAATGAGCTGTTTTTTTAAGGGTGTGAAACGAAACTTTGACCGCCGACTGTCGAAAACGATCCGGGAGGAGAGGCAGTGATGGCTGAAGGTAATTTGACCTTATTCAAAAGTATTCTCTCAGACACTACTTCGTGAATTGTTCCAGGATTTTTGTTCAGGACGAGGGGCGGAGGCCGGGTACTTTTTTCAGTACATCTCTTACTGTTTACGCTTCAGGATCTGTCAAAATTCCCCACTTCCGGGGACATTTTGCCGAATTAGGCCCAACTTTCTTATTGCAGGCCCTAGCCCGGTGTTATTTACTCACAAAGGAATTCTCACCGTAATTTGCTGCACAACCTTAGTATCCTGATTTGTTACTGTTGCATCAAATATTTATTATATTGCCCTTGCATGACCTGTTTCCCGTAAATCCACCCAATAAATATTCATCTCTACACTGACGAGGTCCAGTTGTGGTAATGGTAAGAAATGTATACGACTTATTGGACCGAAATATTTCTTATAATTATAATAATTTTATCAAAGTAATTTTACTACTTTTACTAATTTTTGTCTCTAAATTGACGAGGTCCAATTGTGGTAACGGTAAGAAATGTATACGACTTAATGAACCAAAATATTTCTTACGATCATATTTACTACTTTTAATAATTTTTTTTTTTGATATTACATGCTTTTGTCTTCTTACTCTAACTTTAAAATATTTTCCTCCTATTACTCCATCCAGCACCACACAACGGCTACAGTGGAAAAAATTTCAGATGCAGATTTGGTGCAGTTGTTGCCGGCTGGTCATTCGGTTGGAAGTATTCGATCACGACGCCCACTTATGTACATATTTTCGGGCGGCAATGAAGATGCAGCAATTTTTTCGGTGAATGGCTTCACAATACTGCTGGATGGTGGTGACCGAAAAGATGTACCCTACTGGAATCTCATCCGCAATTATGACAAAAGTAATAAATTATCGTTGTTTTTTTTTCTTTTGAATAACTATTTTATGTAAAATTTAATTTTAATAATTCCTTGATTTTTATTAACCCATAATTCACGATAAAAAAAAGAAAAAAAAAAGCTGAAAAATATGAATTTTGATCCAAAAATGACTGGAAGGGTGAAAAAAAGACGCGAAGCCTTTTCTGAATAATTATTTTTATGTAATTTACTGTTAATACTTCTCTAATTTTTATTAACCCATAATTTTTTACAAAAAACTAAAAAACGTGAATTTTGATCCGAAAGGGGCTGGGAGAAAGGAAGCAGAAGCGGAGTCCAAGAATCTATCCAACTCCTGTTTTTATGCGTTTTTTTGCATCTATGCAATGCAAAAATGCATATTGTCGAAGGGTTGTCTGTATGTGTATGTCTATGTTTGCGTATGTATGTGTGTGTCTGTGTGTTCGTCTGTACTGATTTTTCATCTTGAGACTTACAAAAGTTACAGGGCTGAAACTTTGGAAGCTTAATCTGCATGCATGTACGGGCCCCATCCGCAAAATGGGCACTCACGTGGTTCCCATGTATGAGCCCGTCAAATTTTTTGACGGGTAAGCTGCTAACTCGGGAACCAGAAAAGCTAGAAAGCTGAAATTTTAAGGGGATGTTTCCTGAAAGTTATGGTGGCCAATCCCAATTCTTTTAACTAGAAGCAACTGGTGAAAAAGCCGGTGCTGTTAGCGACAAAAACCTACGAAGAACTGTGCAAAAAACGCATCTTCGCACCGGCATTTGATGCGTTTGTCGATTATTAATCACTGGAAAGGTATAAATCTAGAAAAAATGCTATGCATTTTGCTCGGTAGCATTGAATATTTTGACGTGGCAAGGTGGAATCGATGAATTTACTGGAAAAAGGGGTGCACGCAATCTCTTCTTCTATATTACTGACATTACTGTCATTTTTGATAAAAATCTCAGTCTGTGTATTTTTGCAGTATCATCGGCAGTGGTGACGCGTGTCAGTCCAAATTGTTTGCGAGGAATCTCAGCAATTTTGATGCGAAAATGCATGGAAGAGGTATTTTGATGATTGATTTCAGCCTTTCTAACGTAATGTTTCCAACATAGAACAAAAAAATTGTCTGCTCCAGTAGAATTTTGCAAAAGAGCTACGGATTTTTATTAAATTCTCTTTCCGATCCTCGCTATCACTAGGATTATAATGCAGGTGATTTAAGGTGGCCAGATTCTGGGATAGCTGTGCAAAGACGTCCGGAAGAGCTCAGCATTTGTGAATTTGTATAGTTTTCAAATTATCAACAATTAACAATAATAATGATAATAACAATAATAATAGCAACAATAATGGTGATAATATTGAGAATAATAATAATGATAATAATAACTTCAAACAAAAAGAAATGGAATTATAAATCCATGATCAGATTCTGAAATAGCAGCTGTGCACCAACATCCGAAAAAGCTTCGGTGCTTGTTTTCTGGTGAGTTTTAAATCGTAATATCAG